TTAGGTAAGCAGAGCAGCCCGGCAGCCAGCGGGGCCTGGGCAGCTCAAGCAGACGCTGCGTACTCGACTCGTCGCCTCGCAGTCGTAAATTAAAAGAATAATCCTGGTCGAGAATTGCTGCTGGGCTGTGGCTTGTGTTGCAGAGTCGCATGTCCTGCTCTGTGCTCACCTCGTGCGGGCATGGAGAGCTAGAGACGACTAAGTCGCTAGGGGCAGCCTAGTGCTGTAGTCAGTGGAGAGGCGTGTGTTGGCACCGATCTAGGATAGGAGTGGCTAGGGTGAGCCCGCCGTCGCAGCAATTGATCGCTCCATCAATCAATGCGTGATGAAATGCGACCCGATGAGCCTGCTGGCGAGCTACGGCTGCTCTCGAGTCAATTGGATTCGGTGTCGTCGATGTGATGTGATGGCTCCATGGTTGGTGCCGGCCGTGGCGGCTGCCCTCCGGGCGGTTGAGCCTACAGCAGCCTGGCGGGTCGTCTTGGCGGTTCGGTTTCGTGGTGCGACAGAGCTGCTGCCAGACCTTTTAGATTTTTTAAAAAAGAATACTCCAAAAAAGTCCACAACAAAACTCGCAATGTCTGGAACAGCTTTTCAACGTACGGCCAAGTGAGCATTACCATGCACTTCTAGTTACCTGGAATTAACAGTCCTGAAATCTAAATCTTGGAAAATAAGACTCTAGACGCCAAGAGCCTCGAAACCAGCTTGCAGCACTAGTCAGGCTCACACTGTTGACCCCTCATTGGGAGACACACCTTGTTCATCCTTGCAACGGCCTGATGAAGCTGTGGCTGACGCAAGCACCCACAACACTCGTAGCATGAATGTCCTCTGTGGACTGTTTATTGACGAGGAAATCACTACTGGCTGCGCAAAATAATATTCACTAGGAATTGATGTCGTACCACTGTTTCTGTCATGAATTGCCCATCTGAACCATCGAACTGGCGTACAATTAGTGCGACGATAGCCAAAAACTACAATAGGAGCAGTAATATCAATTCAAATAGGTTCGTTCTTAATAGAATAGCACCGCTGGTAGTAGTTATCAACCGCATTCACTGTCAATTCGTGGATTGTTTTCGATGCCTGGGAAAATCAAGCATGCGTGGGCTAGCCTAACCCAAATGACTGGCCCTTCCGAGCGGCGGATCCCACACGCTCGGGTCGCGCCAGGACAGCTTCGGGACCTAGGCTGTTAAAAAAGCACCGTCCACTCCGGAGGCAATAGAGCTTCGCGAACAGCGCAGAAAAGAGCATTTCGATTTTCTTCTTGGGACCGCCGACGATTGAGAGGACCGTCCTTCTGCATACAAAGACCCAGCTTTGCCGGAGTGGAGGGATCTGGTTCCCCGGGGACCTCCTGGAGGCACGCGTGCTCGGTATGGCCCGTGGACAAGAAAGAGCTTGAATTCATGCACGGAATCTAGCTAATGATTGATGTTTCTCAGCAGAGGCACGACCTCGCCTTGTGCGCGCTTTTGGGACGCTGACGACAAGCTCCTCGTTCTGCCGCATCGCTTTCCTCCAGGGCCTTGTCGAATGCTACGGAGGCGCAATTCGTGAAAGCCCTAAGCAGATTCGATCGATCGTGGAATCGCCCAGACACAATACACAATGCTCCATACAATCTGATCGCTGCCTGTCGCATCATCTGTCATCACCCTGGAAGTGGCTGGTGTGTTGCGACGGGGGCCTCGCTTCGAGTTGAATGCGGCCAGAGTGAATGTGTTTTTCATTGTTCTCAACGCGTTCAGGCAGCACCCCATTGAGGCTCCTATTGATGGTCAATGCTAGTGTTAGGTCCCAGCACTGGATATTGGCTTGAACTGGCTGCTTCATCTGTATTTCTACTGCCTTCTGCCATAATTTATCTTTCTTTCTTTCTTCATCTCTCGCTCTTTCAACCTTCTCCGTCCTAGTACTCCCGTATACTTCTTGCCGTCTTCTTGATCCTCTTCGCTCTCTTTATTATTATCAAACCACTTATCCCTCGTTCGCAGATCATCTTGGCCAGCATGGGGAGACGCAGTTCCGGACGGCTGCTGGACAGCCCATCCAAACAACTCTTGCTCGAGCTCGCGCGTGATCTCGAGCAGATTCGTCTACATCATGAGGAGCTGAAAAAGGTCGACGAGTATCACCGGAGATCCTTTCACGAACGTCAGGATGAGATAGACCGTGAATGCCAGGCGGTGTACTATGCCGCCATCGATGCAGCTACCGCGATGTACGATCAACATCGTCTCGAGGCCGAGGAGGTTCTCCAGAACCATCTCCGAGAAGTCGAGGAAGAGAGACGCCGGAAGCAGGAGGAAGAGGAACGGCGCGCCAGGGAGGAACTCTTGGCTCGGCAGGCCGAAGAGGAGAGACGTAGGGAAGCCGAAAGACGAGCTCAGGAGGAAGAGGCACGAAGGAGGAGAGAAGAGGAAGAGAAGGCGAGGAGGTTGGCAGAGGAAGAGAGAGCCCGCCGCGAGCGGGAGCGTCTCGAAGAGGAGAAGCGACAGCGCCAGGCGGCTGAAGAAGCCGCGCGAAAGAAGGCCGAGGAGAAACATGCGCCGATCCGTGACAAACTGAAGCAGTTGGGAGCCGCCCATCGCACACCAGAAGAGATCGACGAGCATGGCCGCTACCTGCAGCTGCACTACGATCTGAAGATGCTACGGAAGAATCTGACAGAGCAAGGAAAGCAGAACCCGGAATTGAAACAAACGATGGGAGACTTGCGAAGGACGATTGTGAAGTGCATCGGCCAGTTGAGAGAGGGCAAGGGCGCCAACAAGAAACAGGTACGTCAAATCGCGCAGTCTGGTCATTTGTCTTCCCTCTCTAACCTGAGCAATAGCTGCAAGAAATCAAAGAATGTCTCGACAAGGGCAAACAGTATACGGCCATCACGGTGGATATCCGCACCTACATCGCCTTTCCGCCCGACAATATCAAAAACGCGTCCAGCGAAGAAGCCAGTGTGCCAGCGCTGTTCGTATATCTTCTCAACATCCTGACCAAGGCGGTGATCGCTCAGCTCGTCAACGAAGCAAGCATCAACACCAAGTACGCGGAACCGCTAGGCATCATCACGGCGCAGATTTTCTCGTTGGAGGCATACAGCTACCGCAGCTATCCGCTGGTCGACATCTTCTGGGCCAAGTACCGGGTCGTCTGCCCGGCCCTCTGGGGGTTTTCAGGCGACGAGCGGACGGAGCAAGGCAAGCAGTCGCTGGGCTGGTGGCGGGTTGAACCGGGCGGCCCGTTCATCACGGAGCAGGAGCACGTCGAGCGCATGACGGGCCTGGGCGCCGGGTACGCCGCCGTCACGCTGCGCAACTTCAACAAGGTCAGCCGCGGCAACCCGTTTCCGAACACCCTGTTCTGGAAGACGATGCACATCATCCTGTCCATCCCTCCGGACGAGCTGCAGGACACGCACTTCCACCTGCTGAACGCGATGCTGCGTCATTCGCCGGACCGACTGGTCGGGTTCTTTGGGCATGCGGGCCTGGCGCTGCTGCGGAATGCCATAGTCGACATCCCCAACCGCGTGACGCGGAAGCACACGACGGCGATCAACACGCTGAAAGTGTTGCGGGAGATATTTAAGGGGGAGAAGAACATTATTCTTTGATTGGACGGTCCAGATGTTGGAATTGACTAAACGATATGAATGGTGAATGACTTGATTGGTTTGGATCGGGACGATGTTGGCAGCAAAATCATCCATGGCCGACCTGGAATCATGTCACATCTGAATCTATCCATGTATCTACTGCTCATACTTAGCCCTAAAAATAGGCCAGAGATGATCATCATCTAAATCAGTGTGCATGTAGAGACAAGTTCCGTAGCCTGCAATTAGTACAGCACCTGATTTATCTGATCTTAACCATTCATCAACTCTCAGCTCTTCACTTCTCGAATCGACTTCCACTGAATCTAAAACGATCGGCGACCGTTGAACCCTGAATTTTCAAATCGGGACTATTAGCTGCAAAGACCAAAAACCGAAAGCGGAAGGAAGCATAAATTTGCATTGCATGCAAAGGTCACAAATTTGTCTCACATGCCCGACTCGGAAGCTGTACCTACCGATGTAGGTAACTACCTAGGTAATCTAACCGTACAGTTACAGTCATAGTTACTAAATATTGCATATGGCTGTCATTGAAAATTTGATATTATTAGCTAATTACATACTGCTGACCGCCAGACTGGATGTCATGTACCTTGTTGGGGAAGTAGTCCTCAGAGTTTCTTTTTTCTTTTTTTGTCCTGTCCCATCCGGCTGGCTGGCTGGCTGGCTGGGACAAGGTGATCAATCAATCAACTACCTAATACCTAAGCTACTATGCACGTACAGGAACCTGCAGAATGTACGACTTTGATCGAGTCAACCGGTTGATCGATAATCGATAATAAACCTGAGAGCACTATATAACCTTCCTAAGTATAGAGAATAAACAGATATTGGAATAATACCGATTACAGCAGCACCATCTAGCCATTTGATTTAATTCGATTCAAAAAAGATCGATAATCGATATCTATCAATCGACACCTAGCTACTCATCTCCCAACCAATCGGGACCTTGTTTGCATGTCGCCTGTCGCCACTCGACTCCATCCATCTTTTCTCGGGCGACACCGCTCAAAACTCGGGAAAGACGTCAAACAAAGCCGTCTCGGGCCGAACGGCCCCGCCGAAAAGCCTCTCATGAGCTGTCAATGTCATACGACTGCACATGGACCTCCCCGGATAGGTAATAAGAACAAGCTTGCCTTGAGCAATATGTCGCTCGGGAAGTTCGGAAGAGAAAAGAGAGATTGAGCTGGATTCAGCTGGATTCCGAATCATGACATGGCCCAGCCAAGCTGACAACTCATCCAACTAGTCGATTTTTTCTTTCCCTTTCCTTGTTTTCTCCAATGGGTGTGTCTCGACAGGCGATTATCTGTTAATATGGAGTACTGTCTACAACGTGATAATCATACTCCGTACTCCGTACTCGCTGTGGGTCAAGTCCGGATCGAGCATCACGGCCCGGGCTCCCGAGCATCAAGTCGGTCATTCAACATCGTCCGGAAACAGTCATGACTACTTGTCGGGACTCAGCCTGCGTCATCCAACCGGGAATCTGTGATGGATTCCAGAATCCAGATTGTTGGGCCATGCCCATGCTCAGGCATGTTGGCGCAAAGTGAGGCTGCGCGGCGGATCAGCATGCAGTAGCAGTCTGGCGGTGTCTCAGCTACATACTCGGATGAAATATAGGTATGCCTGTCCCCTGCTTAAGGGGAGGCCTTATTTTGTCCTCAATGTGTGCTCTTTTTTTTTTAAGACATCGTACTTATGTTAATGATACCCAGTTTATCGATTGATTGATTTAATTGTCTTAAATCCGTCTGTTTCTATAAGACATTCTGAACAGTACAATATATTGCGAATTTTATTTTTTTTAAACTACAGCCTGTCAATGGCAGCTACACTCCCTCCTGAACTGATCCAGTCCATTCTTCTTTCCACCGACCCAGACACATTCTACACTGCTCGCCAGACATGTCGTTCCTGGCGGAGCGCCGCGTCCAGCGCGTACATGCTCCGAGAAGCCCTCAAACGGACTCCAACGGCTCTACCTGGACCGTCATTGAATATCATCTCGGACAAGGAATGGAACGACCTCTTCATGCACGTCGCCCACTTGAACCTCATTGGCAAGCGTGACCGCGTGGCCAAGAAGATGCTCCGCAGGAAGAGACCCTCCAACTGGTCTTATTCTACTGTTAGCGGCGTGTCCAGCGATGGAACACGGTTAGTCTCCCTGAGCGGTCCCCGGGCATCCATCTACAACGTCAGCAAGACCCGAGACATGGAACTCGACTGCTCGCAGTGTCTATACTCTCTCTGGACGCTCACGAATCGCGCCATGGTGGACAACACCACAAGGGGGATGACCATGGGTCAGCATGGGGCCAACAAGTATCGGATTGCTGTGTCCACGCACGGTGCGCTTGTTGCCATTGCCCTGTGCAGGACCATCCAGATCTACGACCTGTCCAGCATGGACACATCTCCGGTGGAGCACACGCTCGAGGAAAACGAACCGCTGACATCGGTCGAATTCGTCGAGAATGATTCTCTCCTTCGAGTATGTACGGTAAAGAACCCGAACAACCCTAACTCTGAGACCAGGGTACGGTATCTGGGCCAGCCTCTGCCCAGCTGGGGATCTTTATCACCTGCGAGACTGGAGACGGGCACGGGCACCAACCTGGAATACTGGAAAGAAAACATCCACATCGTCTACCTGGACTCCGCCGCGCTGGACAGGTCATTCCGCGACGACAACAAAACGCATTTCCAGGAAATGCGACTCCTGCCCCGTTCTTCGTCCAACGTCCCCGGACGGTTCTTTGCCGCGGCCATCCAGAACACGGACGAGGACCGGTATTGCATTGGATTCGTCCCAGACAGCGATCGGACCCAGGTCCGCATTTGGCGACAGCTTCCGTCGCGGAGGGACCGTCAGTCGGACCGCTGGAGCCATCATTTCCGCGGTTGCAGCACGTCGTCTTCAGACGACGACGGCAATGAGGAGGTCGTCGTGGTGGAGCAGAACCGACAGATGGCCCGTGAACGGTGGGCGGCCATCAATATGCCCGCCCTGACGAGCAAGCATTATCATCTGGCGGTCTCCAACGACGGGCGACTGCTGGTCGTGTATGAGCGTGATGCAGGACACTCCTCAGCACAGTCGAGGAGAGGGGCACTCTACGTCTTTAGCTTGGGGTGCTGCAAGCCAAATAATCCACACTTTAGTATGCCCTGGGAGAGCAGGGCCGAGGATGCAAATCCAAATCCTCACACCGAATCTGTCGTCGACAACGACAACGACGCCGTTTCACCGCTTCAGATCCAACCCTGGTCCTTCCTGCTAGACATTGTAGACGAGGACATTGACGTCCTGCGCGTGGAACATGTGGAACGGGGGAGCAGAACCGGAACGACGTACAAGTACAAGATCACAGCCGAGAACGTGCACAGTATTACGGAATGGGAGTTGTGAGTTGTCTTGACTGGAATTGTCAGTTCGAAAAGAAAAGAAAGAAAAGAAAAGAAAAAGGAAAGGAAAGAATGATATGATATGATATGATATGATACGACACGATACGATACGATCCGCGATATATATACATATCTGGTCTATTATCCATTATCTAGACTGTTTGTTGTCTTTCATGTCTTTCATATTAGGTACAGTACATACATACATACATCCATCCATCCATCCACATATATATACCCAATTCATTTATATATACAATAGACAGGTAGATATTGATAGATAGATAGATTGATTGATTACACACAAAACACCGATGCCCCATAGCTGACAGTGAGGGATATGTGTATCTGGTCTTATAGATTGTCTATTAGTCTAGTCTAGTATTTTTTTTGCCCTCTCCCTTCAGACACTGCTACACCACCAATATAGATATCTAATAGATATCTAGATGTCTTAGGGCAGAGGGGGGAGGGGGGATGGTATCAATGAGACGGTTATTAAGAAAAAAAAGAAAAGAAGAAGAAGAAGAAGAAAGGAAAGGAAAGGAAAGGAAAATAGAGGGAAGAACAGGCTAGTTACTACACTCACTGATTGAGCTGGCAACACACCAGTCATAGTAATATTTCTACGGAACAATTGAAGTAGTACTGTACAATATTGGGGATATAAAATCAAGACAAAACCACGTGGTATTCAAGCTAGCTAGCTATTAATGGTGACAGATGACAGATGACAGATAACAGATAACAGTAACCATTCCGTCCGGAAGAATCCCCTTCATCCACCAAATCAGCGGATTGGATTTCTCGTCGTTTCCTTTCCATCCGCCGTGATGATCCATCATTCAGGCAGGATCAACGTGACATGGCGTGGCACCGGGAGAACTCATTGAATCGATGGAGAGATTTAGAACTCCCGAGAGGAAGGGGAGCAAGACCGTGTGATGGATTTAGTGCTGTGTTATGGATGTCAGCAAGGATATTTGAATTTGACAGACGGCAACTTACGCTGCACTGAGAGCAGGAGCAGGAGCCACAGCTGCCAGAGCAGCAGTTGCAGTTGCAGGGCGACATCTTGGTGGAGTTGTGTTGGTGGTGACGCGAGAGCTCGAAAAGAGGCTCTGAAGAGCTTCTGGCTGGTGAGAAGACTGTCGAGTTGCTTGCTTGGTTGATGATGATGAAGAAGAAAAGGAAGAAGGACGAGCAGAGGAATCAACGGGGTATTTATACCCCGTTCTCGTCCATCAAGCAACGGGCCTCCGACTAGTCTTTCCCGGCCATAGCGTGGGAGCCCATTCATCCATCTGATCCTGGTGACGGCGATATCCGGATCGACCCCGCGACTCGAGGCATGATCAGATAAAATGTCTCGACCGCGGCAAGAGCGGTTGTCAGGGTTGTGGAGAGTCTGAGGGCAGCTAGAATTTTCCCGGATGTCGCATTAAGCCGTGCAGGTGCAATAAGCTCAAGACCACATCAGAGACTTGATGGAGTCTAGACAGCACGCGACAGTTGTAGGACAGGGTGGAAGAAGATAAGGAGGCAGAGTCTTGGCGACATTCCTACCAATTTCTTCTAGCATTAGAATTCCAGCTTTATAACAGACGAAAAGAACTCCCTACCGAACACACATAGCCAAATAGACCGCAAAGGACTGCTTTATGGACTCAACCGTGTCGCTGGGCAGAAAGTGCGTCGCAATAACGGTGCGGCCCGCGAGATAGGGTTTGCATCGAACTGTGGAAACGTGTGATGGCTGACTCGGCATATTCAGGTGCTAGACTACCTAGCTTAGGCAGTTGGCTGAAATTATTTGACGGGATAAGGTTAGCGCATTGTCTCGATAGGAGATATTACCCGAAAGCTGCAACGTATGACCGTGAATACAATCTGCGTCCTGACGTATGACCTGGGCTGTCGCTTACCTCGGTCGAGATGATCGTCCAAGAGTGGACGAAGAGGCAGTGCTCCTGGAGATACCACTCTGAGCGATCATCGGAGTCACTTAGATCCTGGAAGAGTAGATAAAAAAAAAGGTCATTGGCTGTCTATCCAAGAAGGCGTCCTGTGTCGCGGCGTCCATGCTTGGCGGTGGTTTCGATCTCGTAAAAAGTTCTCGTCGTGCGATGGATCGGGCAGCAAGACTCCTCCGACACTGTGCCTTCCCGAACTGGAGGCGTTTGCCGAAAAGAGATAGAGCTGATTCGTCGGTTTTCGTCTCGTATGATTCGATAGACGGGCAGCCTAGGCAGGCTATATAGGCGACTGAGAGTAGGACGCTCCTTCACGACATCAACCGCGTTTCCTTCATATCGAGAGTCTTCTGACTTCGATTTGGGATCGTGGATTGTTGTCGGGTTGTTGTTGTCTCCTGAGCAGGACGCTCCCTACCCGAGAACACGGGGTTCCAACACGGTAGAGACATGGCAGCGACCTTCTCAGCGTGTAAAACGGACATGTTTAGTTGAAACCGAGCTGCAGAACCGTAGGGGGAATCCTGAGGATTTATGTGATGCCAGATCCCAGACGCTGCATGGCCAGCTGTCTCATCAGATTTGCGGCGGTTGTGTGCATGTCATGAGGACCTTGGGGGTTAGAGACACCTGAAGCGATCCTGACCCCTCATCGGTTCGACCTCGTATAGATAACCAGGCAGTGCTCTTCTCGCATCATGAATTCTGAATATAAACACCCAATTTGGAGCGGGAAGATCCAGAGAGCAACCAGATTGACAGCGAGATGGCCATATCTTGGCACAAGCGACTTGAGCGATTTGAGGATCAAAAGGCAGATATCCTCCCGTCCTCTTCGCGGATGCCCATCAGAGGCTGAATTCACAGAATAGGTGGCCAGTGTGTCATTCAGCCAGAATACATTGACACAGCCAGGTGTTGATAGTTATGAAAAGGCGAGCGACTCGCCCCATTGCTTGTTATCAAGCCGGTAACTAAAGCTCGAGATGTTCTTGCCCGCATGGAAACCACCTGAATAAGAGTCAGTAAGAGAAGAAAGGGCTCTTCGCGAGGATTGTGTCTGACATTCTCCAGAAACGAATTTGTTAAGTCTGACCTGACCTCTCCTTTTTCGCCGTTTGCCAGCTTGTATCGCTGGAGAAAAGTGAGAAAAACACCATTTTATCGACAGAAAGTTATGTGGTGACCATTTTCTGACAAAAGATTTCTCAAATATTTGGCTCCTAGCAGTCAATAATCATCCTGTCGTCGGAGGGCCAAGGTCCGGCTGACAGACTGACAGAAGCTGGCCAGGATCAGGGAACTCAGCCAGTTGTCGTGTCATCATCGAAATCCCATTCAGAGGTAATGAACTAGTCGTTCATGGTTTTGCGGTGAAATTCCTCCCCAAAGCCTGGTTCGTGGCTAGTCAGACTAGCCGGAATAGCGTGCATAGCACAGGCAAGCAACGAGGCTGGATTTGGTTGGGACAGGACATTGTTGGTGCAGTTTCCTGCTCGTCAGGCGATGCAATGTGGAATTCAGACATGAATGAGCACAGATCGATAGGACATCTATCAGCGTGTAGGAAATTGGGATGGCCTCGTTTTCTATCCCTGGGAACGAGGACGGCGACGCTGGCTGCGGTCGTGGTTAAGCTACGTGATGCTCAGCCTGACTAACCCGTGGCGGCCGCACCCCCATCGGCCATGCCCAATCGCCTGCATCTGCAGACAACAGGGCCCAGGAAGTTCCACGGAACGAGGGACAGCTAGCTGATAAACTGCCTCCATCGCACGCTGCTAGAGCTCACCAAAGGACAATCGGAATCGAGATCCGAAGATGATCAGATGGCTGATTCTATCTATGTATCTGCACAGGCTTTGGTCAGCCACTGGCGATGATTTTAGTTCTATTCCCCATTTTGCAGCACTTCTGACGACTGCCATACAAATCCTCTGCTTTTTATTTATTGGATTGTCGCCAGCGTCCGCGCGGCTGCAGGGCCGATTCCAGCTGCTCGTTTAAACAGGGAGCTGACTGCCGTTTCCAGCTACTGTCGCGGACACCCGCTGCCAAGAGATCTGACTGGCAGACACCAGCCATCACCTCCGCATCAACGGTCTTTCAGCTCAGGCCGTTAGCGTGCCAAAGATCACCCCGGTTGGACCATTTCCATACATATCCATGTATTTTGGAGAGCCGTCGCAACTAATCACATCTCAGTATCCCATGAGGATCGTTCAACGCCTCACGGAGGTGTCCTCCTGATTCTAGGGCTGAGGCTGAATTGAGAATAGCACCAGGGATCGTCAAAAGGCTTGATTCTTGTTCTGAACCTCCCCCGATCCGCAGGATTGGACAATGATAAATGTGAAGGGAGGCCTTTCAGCTGATATCCGGATGGGAAATTGATGTTGGGACTCATGGCTTCCTCCTGCTGCCCTGCTTCCCTGATCTATTTATGATCAGGTCCATTGCCGTCTGTCAAGATGCCGTCTGACCAAGTCTTTCGAAGGGGAGCCGGGATTATACAGCTGAGCTGCCATCTACCCTTTTCGTCTTCTCTCTCTCTCTCACTCACATTTTTTCTGCTCTCAATGTCGTAGTAAATACTCATTTCCAGAAGTTTTGTCTTGAATTTGACTTCGCTTTTCTATTTTTCTTGATCTTACAGTGCCTCGTCCGAAGTACACCCATTATTGCAATCATGTCAGACTCAGGCGACTCGTCCAAGACGGAGAAGAAAAGGTATGTAACTGACACCTCGCCCTGCTCTGCTGTCCATCAAAGGACCGTCTTGATCATTCTCTTCCCACAGGGAATATAATAGAAACGCACAGCGTCTGTTTAATATGCCCATCTACTCGTCTGGCAATGCAAATCAGCCAACAGTAGACAACTGACTGCTGGTAGGGCAGCGCCGAAAGGAGCGTCTGAAGAACCTCGAACGGGCCGAACGGGAACGGACGTCGACCCATGCAGACGAATTGGAGCGCTTGAGACGCGAGATCAACGAGCTGCGGCTCGAAAACGAGAACCTGCGATTATACCATGAGCCGTCCCCGCGAAGTTCTCCAGTTCCACCGATTGTCTCGAGCCCGTCCTACGCGGCCAGTCCACTGCCTCCCGTCGGGATGAGCAGCCAACATCTCAGCGACTCCAACCAAAGGCCATCGCATGCGCTTCCGTCCCGCTCGTCGAACACGTCCGACGCGGGAGTGCCGCTGTGCGTGCTATTTCCCAGGGACATTGCCGAAGTACGACGCGACTTGCACGAGAGACTCGCGCCGGTGTTGGATCTGAGTGTCGTGACGGATCCGCAACGACACCTGGCGACCCTGGCCGTCTTAGGGCCGTCATTGCCCGCCGCGCTTCAACCGACTTTTCTCCAGCTGCAGACACCCCATCACGCGTACATCGACCTGATTCCGTCGCCTGCCCTCCGCGACCGGTTGATCCGGGCCGAATTCGAGACGGCCAACGCCTTCCTGACGGAGGTGTGCACCTTTGTCTACGAGACGGAGGACCGGGGGCCAGCTGACCATCTGGGGCGACGACTATCTGAGCGAGTTCTCGTGGGAATTTTCGGCGGACGTCCTTGAGCAATGGAGCAGCATACTGACGGACGAGTGGCGCGAACGAGCTAACTTTTGGCGACGGCAGCGGAACGCTCCGTTGCTGTAGCATCAATTGTACAGTGCATAGGATAGGAGTATTTACCGCTCACGATTAAGCGAAGCAAGAATATTCCATCACCTGCATAGAGAAAATCATCTAAATTGCCGTAAGCTCTGTAATTTTGTTTGAGAAGTTTCTTTGGTTGCAGCCAGTAGGACAGGGCTGGCAAGGTCACGTGCATGACAGTCAACATTGCTGTACTGATAGTTAGATGCACCTTCTATATACTGGCTTTATGAGTATCAGGACTTCTTCTGTGCTAGTATGTGATATCAGAGATGTAATAATAATAAGGAGTTAGAATAGTTTGCGGTAATCATGACAGAGAGCAAGTTATCAGCAATGGAGGGTCTACGTATCAACATAAAGGTACTTTGTATGCCGGACTATGAATTTAATTTTGTCCAACAATTGCTTCTGGTGCTATTAGTATCGCGTTACATCTACCATGTGCAACTTATTTGAAATGAGTGTTGCATGATTGGCAAACGTCATCACCGTAGCTCCCACTTAGTCACGACTTACCCAGGTGACCTGCACGACTTGCTGTCCAGCTTGACGCGTTAAATACGCGACTTTCTAGATATTTTCCTTTCCATCTTCTCATCTTTCACCTAATTTCCACCATCTTTCTACTGGAGGTCAACCTCTCTTCAGGCTATGAGCCCTTGACCCAGTCTTGTTCCTCCCCCTGTCATGCATGTTCTTCTCTCTTTGGGACCAAGATATTATCTCAATTCACTTACCTTACTGACAAAGAGTCAGTTTGTTAGAGAATCATTGTGTGCTCAGCCAGTGGATTAGATATCGTCAACTACTGCGAAGTGAGGTTCGCGTTACTTCTCTAATCTACCTCATCTCACATCCTCAACCCTCACTACTGAATATCATTAGGCTGACTCGGTTGCTCTTCCATCCGGCGAATAGCCTTCATTTCGACAATCAGGGGAAACCTCTCGTCCCCCCTCGACTTCCCGCAGAGCAGAACTTTGGACGCATTTACAAGATCGTCGAACCCCTTGTACTGAATATTGAGTCGCTTGATAGACCTTGTTGACTTTGTTGTATGTGGGCCTGCTTATTGCTTTGCGCCAGATCACACCCATCATAATCAAAGTCAGGGTCATTTCTGTCGATTGTTTCTCTTAAGGGTAGGGGTAGGTGTTCTTAGTATGATATTCTTTGATTCTAGCTAAGTACTCCAATCTTAGGGGCGATAGACCATAACGTTATCTTCAGTGACAAGGAACTGCGTTTTTCACAGTGCCTGTCGTCTTTTCGACATCTTCAAAATGGAATCTTTCCTTTCTCCCTCCAATTGAAGACCATGTGTACGGATGTTTCTACACCATTTGCTGTGCCAGTCATTGACAGCGATGACTGGACTGACTGGTCAGTGGAGCAACATCATCTGCAGTATTCACAGGCATCGCAAGGCTGAAGATCAAGTCGAGTTCAGCTTACCAGACACGGTCGTGCCACCTCACCATCAAGAAAGCACTTCGACGTTTGTTGCAGACGCAAGGAAAGCGGGATAAAGGAGTCATTAGACGACAACAGAATTCCTTGCTCAGCTGAAATCCAAATAGGGTACATGGAAGGGTCTTGTCAGCAGTTCAGGAACAACAGGCCACCATACGAGGTAGCATACGACTGAAATCGCAGCCGAGTCCCCGCAACGTGGCGTTCTCCCCTGTGGACCCCAAGGCGCGCCTCCCAGGCCAGGACGCTAATCGGAGACAATATGTCATCTGGAAGCAACTCGATGGTTTCCAGACGCTGGAGCACATGTATGTATGTATGTACCTATGTATGGACATACATAAGTTGGGAGATGATGTTTTATTTCTACCAACCCTTGGGTCTCATGCCATGGTTAGGAATCAAGCATCTGTATCGTCTTGACCAAGACCACAACCAAAATGCCCGCCCTTTCAGGCCGCAGATGACGTACTATTTTCTGATAGTCGTTCGTATGTCTGCTCAGCTCGACTGCTGACCGATTCCTGACGCGACGACTGGCTCACGGGACCGGTCACGTTGCCAGCCAAACCCGTTTGGCGTTAGCGCGCTGGCCGGGGGCCTTCAAAAGGCGGCCCGCTCGCAGTCCCCTCCGTGCATCTGCTTCTTCTCTGCTTGCCCTTCTCTCTTCGCTGCACCCCAGATCGTCCCTGGAATTGCTCTTCATGCCTTCTCTCAGTCTGTCGTCGCATACCCTGGGCCCTCATCCCGCGTCCGATGTCCGACACCTGTATTGTCTGTTTAGGAGACCTTGGCGGAGGCGCCAGCCCATCCCCCGTCGCCGAGGCTGTGCCAAGACCTGACGATAATAATGATGATGATGGCGGCAACGTCACCATCGATACCAAACCCCAGGTCCGTTCCCCCCGAGGAGCCGGGGATGGCGAGGAGGATCCGGGTCAGATCGCCCATCTGCTGCCCTGCGGCCACATCCTCCATAACAATTGCTTGAAACCCTGGGTGGAGCGGGCCAACAGCTGCCCCATCTGCCGGCAGAGCTTCAATGTGGTCGAGCTGAGTGACACTCCTGGAGGTAGGTCTGAGTGCACATAGTTTATTTCTTTTTGTTCTGTTTTACTGTTTTTCTGCCTAATTTTTATTTATTGCCTATGCTGACTGGCCAGGCCCCGTGATCTCGTCCTATGTCGTTCAGGATAAGGTCCAGGTTCCGGACGTGGACCCGTCCATGATCGTCGAAGAGGTCACCGACGATTCGGACTCGCAGCCGTGTGCTATCTGCGGTAGCAATGACAACGAGGAGGTTCTGCTCTTGTGTGACGGCTGTGATGTGCCATCGCACACATACTGCCTTGGTCTGGATGCAATACCGTTTGAGGCATGGTACTGTGACCAGTGCGAGGCTCAGCGGGCCATTGGTGCCGTGTCTGACGCATCCAGCAGACTGTCACGGAGGCGACCGGAGCGACGAACCCGGGCTCAGCAGCGGAGGCTTCGCATCCACAACCAAGCCAACTCTCTCCAATGGGCCCGGGTATGGCAGTCGGTCTATGATAGCCTGAACCTCGACCTCGATTTCCCGTTCGACGACGACCAGACGGTCGACCGTTTCCTGCAGCAGAATCGGCGACAGGCTGCACAGCGACGGGACTTTCGATCATGGCAGCGCCGCTACCAGATCGCCGAGCGACAAGGCGGAGGACACCGCTTCCGAGAGCCGGCGGAGATCCTGGATGAATACGCACCACGGCCGTCGCGACCACGGGTTCCACGAGCTCCCACCCCGGAACCGGAATCGTTAGAGGAGATGAGAGCGTGGAACGCCTTTGAGCGCGCGCGAGAACTGGAGAACGATCCCAGTGCGGCACGCAAGCGCAAGTCGCCCACGCTCTCTCCGTCTCCTGAGCCTGCCGAACCGGAGCGGAAGTTGAAACGGCCACGGACCAGGCGACCGGAGGAACTGGCGGCGATGGCGCAGAATGGTGAAACGTCGCGGTCGGCGGCACGTCTGAATGCGGAGAACAATTCTGGCGGGCCCAGCTTTCTGCAGTCTCTCCTGAAAGAGGTGGAAGAGGCGTATGCGAATCGGAATAATAACTCTGTGGGGCCCTCTGCTCAGTCGTGCAATACACCTACTGATTACCCTAACACGTCGGGGCCTTCCTCCCCTTCGTTGTCGCCTGCCTCGTCGAACCCTGCATCACCACGGTTGTCCTCGACCAGCCCTCCCCCACACATGAGGAGGCGACCCGTGTCACCAGTGCAATTGGGGTCGTCATCGGACGCGGTCTCACCGTCGTCCCCATCGCCGGATTTCTCACCGTCAGTCTCTCCAGTCCAGGATCGAGATGCTGAAACTCGACGTGCTCGTCCTGACGCGTCGCATGTTCGAGGATCTCGTCGCGCGGAGAAGTCTGCGGGGCCATCAGCGAGGTCGAATGACGGCTCTCCGTCACGGAATGGTCTTCCTCTGTCGGTGAAGACAGATGTGCAGAAATTGGTGGGCGCGGAGCTCAAACCGTTCTACCGTCGCAAGGAGATCTCCAAAGAGGAGTACACCGACATCAACCGCACCATCTCCCGCAAGCTGTATGAGCGGGTGGGTGAGGTTGAGACGTTGGAAGGCGAGACACTGGCGCAGTTGAAGGAGGTCGCCAAGGAGGAAGTCCAGAAGGCGGTGGAAGCGTTACAAGAGAAAAAACGCAACGAGCAATAATTCTAATGTGTCTGAGTGATGACATGCATGCTGGCCGGCGTTCAAGTGAGGTTATTCGGCGCTGGTGTTTGGCGCATTCGGTCGAGTTGGTTACTTGGTGGGATTTTGGTTGGGATTTGGATTGGACTTGGCCTGCACTGGGGCGTGGGATATATTGGGAACATTTTGGATACCCTTGTGGGCATGTACAGTAGTATTTGAATCTGCATCATAGTCTTGCATTTCTGTTATTCTGACTAGATCAATTGGAGCCAACTAGGCATTGGACATCAAACTGAGACCATTGTATCAACGCCAAGGGTATTGCGATAAACAGAAAACATCATCCGCCATAAACATCAACCATCAAACATCAAACGTGCCAGTGAATAAATTACAAACAAACAACAGCATCATCGTCATAATCATCATCTTGGCCACTAATCAGTAATTATCTCTCCATCATCGCTCCCTCCATTGACAAGAACCCACTTCTCCGCCTCCACCCGATCAAGAATCTTCCTACAAATATCACGATGCGCATGCGCGGCATTCTTTCTCACAAACGGCATCAGCACCCGGGCACACTCGACAGTGACCTCTTCGACGAGGGTGTATCGATCAGACTCGGTCTCTGCCTGGCCCTGGCCCTGTTCCTGGTTGTGATTCTTCTGAGGTTCATCAGCAGCGTTGACCGACTCGACTCTATACTCCGCCCACACCGTCACGCCCATCGGGGCATCCGCGCGCGTGCGCAGCCCCCTCGACGTATCCATGAACCAGGCGGGGAAGGTGATGAACTTTTTGCCCTAGTCGCCGGTACCGGGGATGATGGGGACGCCTTCTGTGACGAGGTATGATTTTACTACCCCCTTGACATTGTCGTTAGTGTTGGTGTTGGTGAAGAATGGATCAGAGAATGCAGGCGAGTCCTGCTGCTGCTGCTGCTCCGTCGTCGTCGTCGGGATTTCGCGGTACCCGGTCGTCAGGGCCTGCAGTGTCGGGCAGTTGGCGTGGTTGTGCAAGGCGGCGATGACGTCGTCTGCCGTGAGACGGTCGGTTGGGATGGGGACGGCGATGCGGAACGAGTGCGAGATGCGGGTGAAGGGGGAGCAGGAAGCGGTCCATGATGAGAGGAATGATGTGGACATTATTATTATTGTATTGTATGGTATAATCGAGAGATACTTCAAGTACAGTATGCAAAGTACGGACAGGAGGTAGAGTCTGTAAGAGAGTACGTATTGTACGGAGTACAGATAGTACAGTACCTTTTTTTGAATAGAGGGTGATGTAGAAATTATACGAAGTAGATAGATAAAAAATAAGCCTCCCCCACCTCCCCTCCTCCAATCTATTTTTAACGCTGCGAAAAAAAGTAATATGACAGGGCAGTATTACTACATAGGTTACATTAGTTAATCAACCGTTCCTTTTTTTTTAACCTACTAGCTATGCACGGTACACCTGCCTAAAATAGGTATATACGACATGCCTAGTTAGGTTTGTTTGTACTGTACAGAGGACCTGAAAATTGGACACTTTAGGTAGAGATAGAACATGCAGATGCCAACCACGTTTTTCGGATTCTTTCCGCACTGGATTCTGTAACGGCTGAACTATACTTAGATAGGGTAAGGAAGCAAGTGTTCTCACGTCAGAGTGAGATCAATCTGGACCACAAGGAACGGACTGATTGATGTTATTTATTCGCAAGAATTATTATCAATAGTCTAACTGCAGTATGCATGTACTTACAACAAGATAGTTATTATATATACATGTACAGAACGTCTGATTATTTAATTAATTCTAGTTAATTACATAGCTTGTTGAAGACCAAGTTTCTCTATATATAGCCTTGCGGAGCATTATTATACGTACTGTAGTGTCCTCACGTGGCTGTGCTTTTTGCTTACTGTATTTCTTAAGTAATTATTTATGCGCTGTACAGACATAGACAGTTTTATGTTATTGCCAGAAAATCAACACTGTATCTGTGCTGTATTACTACCGACTAAAATAACGAGGACCTGGTCTGATTAAAGGGAGTAATCACTAACTAATTTACAGGAGAGATGATTGTTCCGGGCGCCCTTGGTGGCGAGATCTTGGAATACTGATTTTGCTGTCATCTGAGTCGGGGACGTGCAATACTATCACAGATTGATTCCTGTTCCTCGGGTAAATTAACCTAGGTAACGTTCATTTATCGAAACCTTCTGAGAAAATATCCCTCGAAAGAAAGAAAAAATGTCCCTCCCTCAAAGACTGACAACACTCCCTCTCTCCTGTATTCGACTCCATACCCGTCGTGGCTCCATGGACACTGTTTCCAAAATATCAATTCATCGACCGCCCGACAAGTTGACTTCAAAGCTTCCAGCTCGACTGTGACAAGATCATCTCCTGAAAGCAGTATTGTTGACGATATACGGCGGACGGAGCCTGTTAAGCGACGCTTCGTCCTGGCCGTTCTCGATCGCCATGTCTAGCAACTTCTGGAAGTGCCGATGCACCTTCACACAGCGCTTGGCGACGCGTAGCGCCCAGCCAGGGTGAATGTTTTGGATAGAGAAGTAAGGCCCTTCATCTTCGCTATCACCCTGCTCCTCCTCACTCGTCGCTTTCTTCGGCTGCCTCAGACGCATAACAAAGACCGGAAGGATGGGAGCGTCGTGCTCGTCTGCGGTCGAAACATCGTACCCGGGGTAATTTATTTCGACTATAATGTAGCTGTTTGGTTCGAGAATTTCCATCCACGCAACGCGGATGGTCGTCCTCGGTGGTTTCTGGAAGTTTGGCTGGTGGCTGCTTTCTTGATTGCTGCCTCTTGCTTCTTCTCCGTCGGCTTTCCTATTTCCATTGTCTGTGTTCTCATCGTCATTTTCATTCGCTTCGTTCTCGACCAGCTTCTCGAACGCTCCCGCAGCTTCTTTCTCTCTGGTGAGAACCTCCCCCAACCCGGCACCGTACAGAGTGGTAATTACAACTGGCCTCACGGCGAGCCAGGTATCTTCAATATCGTCCTTCGACGGAAGGTACTTGGTAGGTATTTCCACAAGGAAGCGCACAGGCAGATGTTCTTCAAAGGCCTTGTGGACTTTTGGGAGAGAGACGAAATCAGCAAAAGGATTTTGGTCCATGATTCACGCACAGTGAGATGATGCACGTCAGGTCTTTGCAAGACGATGTTTTGCTTTGCCAGAGAGAGTGTGTGTCACAGTCAGAGCGTGAGAGTAAGAAAGAGAAAAGAAAGAATCTGTCACGTATCATGACTGAAAAAAAAAAATTCTTTTGCGTCGTCGAGCCATTGACTCATTCATAATAATAAACAACAGTGGTGAAACCAGGATGACTGTGTGAATGATCACAGTGAATGATCACACTTAGCAGCTCTCGGCGAGCACGCAGCGTGCTCAAAGCGGAGCCCAGTTCTGCAAGAAGGGGAGCTTGACAGTTCCATCATGGTTGATCTCTAGGTGGGTAATCGAATTGCTCTTCCCTCTTTCTGATTAGCAGGACATGATGATATTCTGTGGTGTTATCTTTCATGTAGTCGCTAGCAAGCTATATACTGTTGTGGAGGAATGTCAGCAGCAGAGCAGGTAAGAAGTCATGTGTGATATACTCACTAGGGTAGGACGAGAGACAGCTTGATTCTTGAGAACGAACTATGTCCTGTATGAACATACTAGTCAAAACAGGAAGACGGGATAAAGAAGATCAACCAAGTCCTCGAAGGGCCTGAAGGGCTCTTCATATGTCAAGCAAATATGTTCATGCTGAGGCAGAAGTTCAATATCTAATTAGACGTCTAGGTCGCTGGCTCATCCTATATCGACAGTTCGAATCAATCATTAATATCATTGAGGATATCCTATCACTAAACTCGTCTATCAGCTTTCTATCATCATCATATATATATACGCTGAGAAACAAACAAGCACACGTCAACATGCTAATCCAAGGTCGATGCTGTTCCTCGGTCTAAAGGTCGAATGCACAAGGTGATATAAGGCTGCGTCATAAATCAAATGCAGTCGTCACTATCAAATATACCAAGAAATCAAAACTTCGGCTTATATCGACTCATCGCCCGGATCTTCGCCCCGTAAAAGAAAAACAAAATCGGAATCGGCACCATCGCCGCCGTCAGGAATCCCAACAGACTCGACGCCCAGTTGACGCCCAGCTTGTGGTACATCTGCACCGCAAACAGCGGGAATGCGCCCCCCAGCCCGCTGCGCAGCAGCGTGTTAGCCGCGATCGCCGAGTTGGCGAACATCATATACACATCGATGATGTAGTTCAGCCCCTGCATGAAAATCACCAGGATCCCCAGCCCGATCGGCACGCCGGCGATCACCTGCGGCACCCACGACACGTGCGGGTTCGACGTCCAGCCGAACCAGAACAGCCCGGCTGGCAACAGCACCGACGCAATGATCATCGGCGGCAGACGCTCCTCCGGCACCACCCGCCCGTGCTTCTTCAGCTTCCGAGCAAACCGCGTCTTGGTGATCGCCATGATCAGGAGGCTGCCAAGAACCACCCCAACCAGAATCCCCAGGAACGGAAGGGCCGCCACCCCGGCATTTGTCCAACCCCGGACTTCCTGGAACGAGACCGGATAGGCCTCGAAGGTGAGATACAGAATCCCGTAGATGAGAGCCAGATAGATGCTCACGCACAGCAGGATCGGTTCGAGTATGAGCATCTGGATCGGCCGCAAAAGGTATCGGACAACGATATCGTTCAACGTCGGACGGTGCTCATCCAGACGCGAATGAAGAGCCCAGTTTCGAGTTTCCAACCGAAGACGAGCAGCCCGTCGCTGCAGGAGGACAGGCGCGTATGTTTCTGGGACCACAAAGAAAGCAATCACGCCAAAGAATGAAGACGCAATGAGCGTGATCCACGCCGTCCACCGCCAGCCCAGGTACGATTGGACAATGAAGCCTCCCCTGTAAGCCAGTTAGTCATGATGAAACATTGCTCAGAGTCGAAGGCTGACTCACAAAATGGGACCAAAAGTTGGGCCTCCAAACGTGGCTGCAGAGAACCACGCAACAGCGACCGCCCGGTCGACAGGATCCCAGATATCCGCCAAGGCACCCCCGACAATGGCCAGCGGGGCGCAGCCGAAAAAGCCGATAAAAAATCGGGGCACCATGATCGTTTGCAAGTTCTGAGCCACCGCGACGGGAATCTGGAAGATCGCAAAAACCGCGTATCCGAAGAACAACGGGAACTTTCGACCATACAATTCAGACAGCGGACCCCAGACCAATGGCCCGACAGCAAAGCCCTAAGCACGTCAGCAAGATCCCAGAGGAGTAACACACGACAGGATGACTTACGAAAACCGGAAGACTTGTGGCCAGGGTCGTCACCTCGGTCGAGACATGGTACTCCTCCGCAGTGACCAGCGTCGCTTCACTGAAAACACTACTCGAGAAGGTAATCCAGACGGTCATGGTTGACAGGATCATGGTGATCACCCATTTTCTCAAGCGAGAGAAATTCTGCGGATTCTCGGGGTCGTCTGGCCCATCCCATTCTACCAGGTTGGGATCTTTATCCGGGGCTTTTCTGTCCTCTGCGGACTTTGAACCAACACCGGTTTCTAGGTCGAGCTCCCTCTCTGCTTCTTCGTCTACCTCCTCCCCCGACCTAACGGTCTGGGAATCGGCTCCATCTTTCATCTCATTCTCCTTCTCGTCTTGCAGCGCGCGGTGTGAAGGCCCATGCCGGTCATCCTCCAGACTCACTCTCGTGGGCGTTGTGTCGTCGGAATGGAAATTGTTCTGCTTTTCTGGGTCCATATTGGAACGTCCGTTCGCCGCAGGAACGGCGAGTTTCGTTAAAGATAATATTGTCCGACTGTTGCTTCTTTGGCCCTCTGAAGTAGACAAAGAGCCAGATCTTGTCCAGAGATCACCAAAGGACGACGGAAAAAGACACTTCCAGCGGCGAAGCTAAGACTGCAGTGGGAATGGGCTGTAGTTTATACCTACAGTAAAGCTCTATCTAAGACGCTAGCTTAGTCTCGATCCTTCGCGGGTTCGCTCTTTCGCTGTCCGAGGCTCAGGCAACTTTCTTTTTAACCCCGAGCGAGCTTAGAGCTCAGAGCTTGCGCCATTGTCAACTGGACCCAGTGGGCATAATTATTCATGGGGATGCTAGCTTTGCCATTCATTAATATTAGTAACAGATTGATTATGAATCCCTTAACTCCGTCCGAAAAAAAAGACTTGGGTCGGCAGCTTGATAAGCAACCTGATGAGATGACCCAATACAGTTTCGGGACCCTATCTAAGCAAATTCAAACCGGCACGTCATTACTCACCAAACCCGATACCTAGATCCGTCGTCACCACCATGTGCACGAGAGCCGACCACCGGGTGCGTCTGCAGCGCGTCTACTCGGCAGCGCTCAAGCTGCGACTAGGGCCGACAACTAGGTAGCTCCCGCAACCAGAGGGCCCGCTTGCCTAGCGCTCCAGTCGGAGGGTTCTGGTTGGATGGCTCGGGGCCCAGAAGCTGATGAGAGATGACGCCAAAATGTGCATTATTCATTCGATCAAGTTCTCTTGTATCTCCGTCCAAAACAAGACCCAGTAGGAAGAATGGATCTAGATGCACCGTTTCTTTTCTCCTTGTTTCAAATCTGCCGTGTTCTGGCCATGTAGGCTCCAGGACGTCATGATAATTGAGAGGTCGGAATGCCGAATGCGGGTGGCTGAGCCGTCAATTCGACTCGGCAATGGCGCATCATTCCCACCCAAAACAGGAGCTCCTTTGTAGAGCAGTTAGTTGTGGCGGATAGACCATCGGAGCGCGTAGTCGGTAAACGGTTCTTTCTTTCTTTCTTTCTTTCTTTTTTTTTTTTAAATTCGACCCGTCAAATCGCAACGCCACACGGAGACCGAGAAGCGCGACGTGCCGAACGAGGGTCCGGGTAGCCGGCAGTTGGCCCTAAGTTCCCTAACCGATCCACTGCACGGACCACTAACCACGACCTGCTGCAGACCACCCTGCAAAGCGTGCATTGACCAGTCTATCATGCTGAGGAAGTGGTCCGAGTCATGGACACATCCTCTATGCGAGTGTATCACACTGCTGCCAGCCTGCCATTTGCATGGTGCATGGTTGTAGAAATTCGGTTCTATGGAACCATCCTGCCGCGATTGATTAATCAGTCGACGGGGGGCCGGGGCCGTTTTCCGTTGACATGCGGCTGATGGTCTTGCCAAGACAAAGATGAGAACTAATTTCTGACTCCGTTTTATGATTAATATCCCGACAACAAAGTTGAACAAGGTTGAATTAGTCGAAGTATTCTCAATGAGTGTATGTAATGAAACGAATACACCCCCGATGAGTAAGCGGAAAGGCAACCGCACGACGTAAGTTAATAACCGGGTGGAGTCGGACCGATGACATGGCGCATGGCACTATTTTAGGCTTGCGAGTCTCCTGTCTTAAGTGGACGGAGATAACAGAGATCTTCCTGCTTTTATCCTTGCTTTGCTGGTGGAGGACTGGGGGCCAATGCAGTGTTTCGTACTGCGTAGGGTACTTACACAGTAGTACGGAGTAGTGACAGCGTACATATTCTGACAGAAGGAGGGAAAAGGATCGTGGTCAAATCAGGTTTAAGCCCATCTTTCACAGCAAGTGGAACGAATCGATATCTGCTCGACAGAGTAAGGTTAGCCAGTTGTAGCACGCAAGTCTGAAAGGAGAAAATAGCTGAGTTCGAGCCAGTGCACGTGATCGTCATAATCAACACACTGCCAATCCTGCCGAAATGTGCGTGTACAGCTATCTATCCCCGAGTCAGAGGATGGTGACAGGTCAACCAATTCGACCTGGGAGTTGGAGACTGTTGGCAACAAGGAAAAACGAGCGATACGGAGTAGAGAGTCAAGAAGGAACGGATGTCCCGGGCGATCATCTGCACGTGGCCAGAGCTGGCGACAACGACAAAGAGGGAAGGTGGGCGGCCCTTCCTTTCAGGAAAGGAAGGCGCGACTCGTCCGAATCAGGCCAGCTTGATCTCGCAGTAACGGGGAACGGTCCAATATCACCTCTTCGACATTGTGAGCTTGCTTGTTGCTGGATATCTCTGTCTTCCAGAGGTTCGAAGATGACTTTTTCATCCTCAACTACGATACGATAAGTATCTTGCTACAGGGATTTTTTTCCACAATCTTCTTTGACGACAACCTCCAAACTAGAGCTCGAGATCGCAGGCATGGCTTCTCATTGGAACAAGTCAAATATAATTGTCGAGAATATCGTTGCGAATCTACTATGAGGATGAGAATTGGCTGGAGATGGATCTCCGCGGTTCGATGAGGCCCAATCAACCGCCCTCAAGCTGCACCAGATCCGTGGTAATCTCAACTGACTTCACCGACAACAGCACACTACAATAGTGGCTTAGGTAGGTGGATAGAGGAATATTCCTGCTGAAACCTTGGGATCTCCAAGCCATGCATTCGATGGGTGGGATTGTACCGTACGGGCTAGGCTCACGGTAGGTTTAATCCGTCAACTTTCATATAGCAGAAAGAAGCTTAACTCGCGCCCCTTCTCAGGTCCATCCGAGCGAGCCGCAGCCATTTCTTCTTCCAGTCTTTCAGGATGATCTTGACATGAATTCCAATTGATCAAAGTCGGAAAAACTTTGAGTGATGTGACGGCGCAGATGGCCGAAGTTCAGCATGGATGATTTGCCAACTCGGATCAGTGCAGCCACCAGGTAAGCACATTGGCAATGGATCTCCGATCTCGTTCGTATGTGATAACGCTCACGAATGTCAATTCTGACCTCTCGTCATGATGCCAGCGATCTCCATCACAACCTCAACCAACTCATTATCTGCCGGTTGCCTCTCTGCCTTCCTCCATATGCCAGCACTCCGCAGCTTTACGCCCTCGGGCTATCGCGATTTGCGCAAGTGTATTTCACTTTCGAGAGCGCGTGGTTGGGACTGATTAAGGAGGTTGATCCATCTGCACCGGCTTCCAAGTTCATCGGTGATGACCATGGAGGGATCAACCATGTCCTCCGTCAGATCTATATTCCAGAGATCTTGAGAAGTGATAGATTGCGGTCTGATCTCTCGAAATTGACATTATGGACCGCCACAGATCTCACTGTGGAGAACGAGCGGAACGGCATGGCTGCTCGTAACTTTGTCTCGCATATCAACGACGTTATCCAGCACAAACCCCATGTCCTGCTGGCATATACCTGGATCATGTACATGGCTTTGTTTAATGGAGGGCGTTGGATCCGCGGAAAGCTCATGAAAGGCGGCCGCGAGTATTGGGAAAATGGCGCCAAGGGTCTATCGTCTTTGAAGGGCAGATCCGACGCAGCGCCGGTGAATTCGGAAGAGGCACATCCCTGTCTCTCGTTCTGGCTTTTTGACGGGGCGCAAGATGGCGAGGCTATTAAGAGAGACTTCAAAGCGCGCCTGAGACAAGCGGCAAACAGCCTCACAGAACCAGAGCGTATCGACGTGATTTCGGAAGCGAGAAAGATCTTCAATTTCTGCGAGGAGATCATTTTGGAGCTCGACGTGGAGGCCTCTATTGAACGGTGTGTGTCGTCTTCATCATCGCCTTGTTCCCCGAAGATAGATACCACGACTCGCGAGGCACCTTGTGTCGATTACCTTCGGTCCCTCCTGATCGGCATAGCTGGTGTGTTATTGAGTCTGTGCCTCATTCTGGCAAGTGAACAGCGAGGCGGCGCAGACAGTCAACCTGCTGCTTTCAAAGGGCAGATTACCCAACCTAGATACCCATAACATCAAAATTGACACGAATGGATTTCGATGCATTTGTCCAGACATTCAACCATTGGTAGAGAATCTGATGTGACACGTATATGGATGTGGATATGAATATACATGCAATTCAGTTCTCAATCTAGCTCAATGAAAGAAAGGAAATGCTCCATATGCTCTGACGCTAACCAACCAATCCTAAAGTGCCATAAACCAACCTAATGGAGAACGCCGTCGACGGAACCAAAAGCCCGAAATGCAATGATAGGTAGGTAGGTACCTAGCTGTGAGAAAGGAGGCATGGCATGATATCATACATACATACGCAGATGCACACATAATACATACGACTGAAACGAGACGAGACTGAAACGAAACTCCTGAAAACTCCGTTCTAGTGTTGTTCTTGTTCTTGTTGCTGCTGCTGCTGTTGTAGTGGTGGCGGTCCTTGTCCCACCAACCACCTCACCCGTTCGACGCGCTCGATCGCCTTCTCCAGCCGATCAAGTCGCTTCCTCTTCTCGCCGTCGCGACGCTCCAGCAGGGCGACACGCTCCTCTAGCTTGGCGCGCGCCTTGCGCTCCTGGGCCACCATCTCGTTCGCTTGGCTGAAGAGTTGGGCCGTTAGTTCCTCCAGCTCCAAGTTGGCTTGCGACAGCTGCGACTCGGCGGCCTTGCGGAGGGACTGTTCGCGGGACAGGGCGTTCTGGAGCTCGGCGGGGTCGTAGGTGTCGGCGGTAGAAGAACTGGTGGTGTTTGCGGCGGGGGCTGTGGTTGTAGTAGATGTTGTTCCTCGGCGGTAAGGCAGGAAAGATGCAAATGTGGAGAGACGGGTGTGGTGTTCGGAAGGGTTGTTGGTATGGGAGATATTCTTCTGAGGGGATGCAGCCCCTGCCGGCAGGGCGGACGATGTGGACGATATTGACGAAATGGAATCCTTGGTCTGCGTGTGCGACTGCGTCTGGGTCATGGCTTGGGCCTGGGAGCGGAGGGCACGAATCTCATCCTCGTAGTCGGCCAGTTTCTCAGCTGTAAACAGTAACACCAGCCAGTCAGCACATTGACCATATCTCAATCATGGCCGCACAGATATCAAATATACCAGTCGCAGCCGCCCTTGTGGTCAGGAACTTGACCTGAGCCTCGAGCTCCTGGATCCTCTGCTGGGCCGCCTGCAAATCATGGGCATTATCGGCGGAGGAAGTGGGCAGCGAGATATCCTGGCCGCAATGCGGACAAACTGTGCCGGGAGACACCGAAACGGGCTGGACGACGCTGGTGTCCTTTGTCATGGGCGGTTGCGATGGCGAGGACAGAAAATCTCCAACCAAGGTCGTTGTATTCGCCGTTGTCGTCGTCTTTGTTGCCGTCGTGACGGTGGTGGTCGACATATCCGGGGTTGTGGTGTCTGTCGTGTGGTGTACGGAGTACGGAGTACAGGCAGGTAGGCTATCGCAGTCGCTCAGGGACAACAACAGTAACAACGATCCGATCGAGAGTTTATTACGCAATAACGAAGAGAAAAAAGAAGAAGAAGAGGAGAATAGATCGATCGATCAATCAATCGAGGGGAAAGCAAGGCATTACCTTTAGGCCCCCGTAATCATATGATATCGTGGGCGTCGCGACTAAATTAGCTACGCTGGCTGATAGATTGATGGAATCCCCAGACTCGATGGTTTAGGCTCTAATTTCCGCCCGCCAAGCCAGACAACTGCTAGTTGACTGTCACAGCTTGGTTTCAGCCATTTTTAGAAATCAGCGATTGGGCACGGAATACGAGTTGCAGGTTGCAGACCGCGTTACAGGACTTTGCCAGCTAATTGACTCGCTCCATGTGGAAGATTCGCCTGCGTCTAGAATCCATTGTTCGTTTCTTATTGTCATACTGACTACTCGCATATTTATTTAATTCCTGCCTTCTCTCACAAGTCATTACTGTACTCTGCTGTAAACTCGTCTATTCACAATTATCTCTTTGCAAGGGATGAAGGAGCACGCAAGGATTCTTCAAGATGCAATGCAATGCAAGGCGATGCACGTGCCGGGCTGGCCGTCCAGTCAGATTGCGAGCAATTAGTCCTCCCATCGACCGTCCGCATCTTTCTTTCATCTTCAAACATTCCACAGGACCAGCCTGCCTCGTACCACATCTTCGATGCCAAGGCCTGCCATGAAATGACGGCTTCTGATGAGAATATCCGCGGAAAGATGCATCCCGAATTCCTCGATTTCCCGTGAACAGTGTCTGCTGTCGTACGGCAGTCGTACGGAGTACAGACCGCCTTGCATCTAGACGCATGCCCAGCCATTCCCAGTTGCATGAGCTCATCTGTTGCCCGTCCATTTCCCTCTCCATACTCGTCGCGAGATCTCCTCATTGGTGCAGGCCAACAGCACAGCGGTTGCGCCACTGATCGTGGCCAGCACCGTTACCATCACTGTCCACCCGGCCGCTTCCACCAATTCTCCGGACACCACGGGCCCGATCACCTCACCGCTGGCCCAGGCGATATTGTGGAGCGCATAAGCCTGTGCCATCGCGCCTCTCCCGCCGAATATGCCCGGGTATTCCTTCTCCTTCCGCTCGACCGGCTCGCTCACCGCGACCATGAGCGACACCAGCTGAGCGGTGAACGAAAACCCAGCAAGGGTCAGCAGGACCAGAAACAAAACGCGGGAACGCGTCGAATCATCGGTGACCAGCCGAAGGAGGAGAAACACGGGCACGAGGAAAGAGAAGCCCAGGAAGGCGGCTATCCGTGGGCCGTGCCGGTCGACGAAGGACCCTTTTCATGCAGTCAGCCAGATGCAACCAGACGGATGTTTTCCAGCCACCGTACCGACCACAGGAGACAACAGGGATGGCAGGGATAGCGGCAGGAAGCACAGTCCTATCCCCAGCGAACCCCAGTGGAACGTTTTGATCACGAAGACGGGAAGAACCTGGTGAGAGCTCAGTTGACGTTTCTGAACAGCTGATTCAGAAACATACGGTTTCAAACATGTTGTAGAGAATAGCATCGACCGCGCTGGCCACGAGGACCACGAGCAGCTGGCCTGACATGGCCAACCTGACAATAGGCGGGATGGAGACGCGATTTTTGCGCAAGAGCTTATCGACGGGCTCCGCAGCCTCAGAATTCCTCTCTCCCCAGTTCTCGAGGAAATGGTTGGATTCTTCCTGGCTGTGCTCTTCCGTCCACTTCGGGGCTCTCTTGGGTCCCATCACCAAGAGTCGAAGAATGATGTCTATGCCGAGGACTGACATGGCCACGATGAAGACTGCGTCGTAGCCGGCTCGATCAAATCTGGTGAGACTCAGAATAATTCTGGTCATAAATACCTGTACAATGACGTTTAGAGCTTACAAGATCCCTCCAAGGGCCGGCCCTGCCAGAGTCCCTACTGTCAGTGCCATCGAGACATAGCCCATCGCGACACCAACTTGATCCTTTCCCACGGTGTCGATGACGAGGGAGTTGCCTGCTATCCATACAGTCGCAGTCGATAGTCCTTGTAGGAAGCGCGCGACGATCAGAGGGGCGGGAGAGCTCGCTGTCCAGAACATGGCCGTCGATCCAGCGACGGCGAGCAGGCCGAAGACGAACGGCACCTTCCGCGAGGCACCTTTGTCGGCCAAAAAGCCCAGGATTGCTGTCATCCATCAGCGGAGCGCTCGAAATGAGATATCTGAGGTATCACACACGGGAACCTATCAGGACGGCGCCGCCAAAGACTGCAAGAAGGATAGACATCCATTTCTGGACTGATGCGGATCAGTTGAGTCCTTCTGTGATGGCATGATGGGACATGGACGTACGCTGGTCATCCGGCAAATGTGCTCGCTCTCTTAGGATGGCAGGAAGAAGAGGGACGACCTGGGGATTAAACCAATTCAGTGTCTTATTTGACCCGGTCGTTTCGCGATGAGTCTCACCATCCAGTATATGAAGACATCCTAAGAGAAGCTTGTCAGCGAATCTAGACCATGTAGTAGAGAAACATTCGTAGGCAATACTCACAGCAAAAAACGCAATCGCCACAACAGCAACAACAAAAGCCTTGGACGAGCGAAACTCGAGCGTCCATGGCTTTTCCGCGCGACGACAGCAGCTGTGAAGAACGTCCATCTTGTAAACTGGCCTTTTTCATTGACGACAATTTTGCAGAAGATCCGGAATCTTGTAACAACTCACCGCTGCGAGCGAGCCTCAACCACATCAGCGTCGTCACTGTTATCAGGGATGTAGTATGTCGTTAACCAGTATGAAGCAAGCAGGACGAAACTCTCTCCCATGGTCTGGCTGTTCTTGCACACAATTGTTCTATCAGAATTAAAGATAGAAAGGAATAATACTGAGAAAAAGAAAAAAAATCTAAACTATGAACGAATTGAAGAGATGTACATACATACATCTTATATAGGTAGCAGCAGCGGCAGTGCCAATGCCCGTGGCAGTGGCAGTAGTTGTAACAGTAAAATGATCGTCCTACCTACGATCAAGACATCAAGACAAAAAAGAAAGAACTGACTGACCGAATAAACGAAATACATGTCACAAGAAGAAGCATAATAAATAAATAATAATAAACAGATAAATAAATAAATAATCCATACATCCATTCATTTAATTCCACACGTCACGCGTATAACCTGAAAAATGAAAATGAAAATAAAACAAAGCGCTTCCTCCCATTCCAATTCCATTTACACCGTTTACACCAATTTCTTGCTTGCGGGCGTAACGTCGTACAGACCAAGGAGGGGCAAAAAAAAACCCGCTTGGTCGAGTCGAGTCAAGTCGAGTCGAGTCAGGTCATGTATGGATGAATACACATCATAATGTACTACTTACTGTACATTACGGAGTATTCGGTCAATTTAGCGTTGTACATGCATACAGTACAACGAGAAGAAAAAAAAGACACAATAAAACCCTTGCAAGAGAAGAAAAACAAGGAAGATCCCTCAAAGATGGACTTCTTCCTGATCCTTGTCCTGGTACAAATGTACATACTGTACGGAGTACATACAACAATGAATTTTTATTTATTCATTCCAGATCATTCATCTGTGGAACATCCCCCCTTTCTTTTTTATCTATCACATTTATTCTTTTCATTTATATATGTTTCTATGTATTCTACGTATGTACTCTTCAGAGGCGGTGAACAGATATCTATGGACATCGATCTTAATCTCATTGCCATCTTGTTGTGTACATCGATGGAGATTATTATACAGATTACATACATAGCATGGATCTAGTATATAGTACAACAGACCTGCCTACATGTAATGTACTTCTTTTTACGGAGTAAGATGATATTTGCTATTCATTGTGGAGCACCGCCGGTATCCCATGCGATCTGCGCGACGCCATCCATCTCTAGTAAATAGTCTCTATGTAGAGAGAGACTTATTTTGTTCGCGTAAAGCTTAATTTATTCCTACTTAGTATTATTTACTCTACGGAGTAAGTTCAATACCTAAATGACTTTATTAATATTGCATACATATGTTCTTGCCCGTTCGGAGAATTTATTCTTAACTAACTTTTCCTTTTTATACAGGTAGGTAGGTAGGTAGATAGTTTCTATCTATCCGTAACTAAGTAAGGTAGAGATGCAGCTGGAAGCTTTGTATTGTATGTACTGTACTGTACATACATACATACAAGACGAAGAAGGAACTTATTTATATACCTTAGTCATAGATATACTCTGAAATCACTTTAGTAATTAATAACTAATTGCTAATTGCTCATGATTAATGTTATTGCAATGGATACATATGTATGTACTCAGAAGGGGTTAAAAAAGAACATTGCAATTTCTCACTTACTCTATCTGTTATCAACTATTAACTGTGTTGCTGTTGTTGTTATTCGCTTGTCGAGATATTGAGTACAACAAGTACAACAAAGAAAAGAAAGGAAAAAAAGGGAGAAAAAAGATGACAACTAACGGCATTCAGGCTGGGAGATACAACATAAAACAACACAGCTGATAAGGAAGAAAAAAAAAGAAGCCCGTACTAAATATGATATGATAATATCACTGCAAGAACTTGCATTGGCCGTGAGCCTCTGCAGTCTTGGCTTTTTTTTCTTTCTTACTGCGTCTCTTCGAGCTTCCTTCCTTGTCCTGACGATAACACTTCTTGACGATTTACCTAGCTGAAAAGGATACTCCCACTCCCTACTCCATCGCTGATCAGAAACATAATAATTGAGAGGAGAGTAAAAAACATGCTGAAAGCAGACACACTTAAACAGACAAACATCGGGAATTCTTTTCTGCTCTTTACATACACCCTCACTCAGCATGGACCGCAGCAAAGGCCATAGATGTATCGTAGATAGACCTCAACAGCCGGCAATGCTGACTCATGGGAACAGACAGGAAGCAAGGAAAACTTTTGAAATTGCATTGCGCTGACAAGACGACAAAAGGACATTGCATTATAAACTGCACCAGGGAATTGACCGAACAGACAAACACCGTGGACCAGACAGGGTCGCATGAAAGTAAAAAGTAAGAAGAAAGAAGAAGATCTAGGAATCAAATAAGCAGCAAATGCAGCCCCCAAGATAACCAAAACTAGGCTCCTCCGGAAGAGGCTCCTCTGTAGGCCATCATCAGGCTGCCTAAGGAGAAGGATTCAGAAGAGAAAGACAGTGAGAAAAAGAGACACACAACACAACGTCTGCGAAGAAACATTTCCCATAACGACGTCGCTCATATTTTGGGTCTCTTGATGCATCAAGGGTCCGCGGAAGAGAAGAAGAGATCTGTCGGGACAAGCGGATGGTGAATAACGTTACGAAAAACAGGGATTGGCGTCTACGCGTAGCGGCCTTGTCCTCGGCGGTTGTTGCGCTGCTTCGACGAGACAGTGCTCCAACCCTCTTCATCGGCAGTATCCGTCACTGGAGCAGCAGTACTTCTCCAGTTGCCATTGGCCTTGCTCGGCGGCAAGTCGCTAGAGGTCTCTTTCGCTGCGGTCGACTCGGCTGGCGCAGACTCTTCCGTCGGCTCATCCGGTTCATGATCAGCAGTCATCCCATTCTCTTCCTCGCCGCCGGCCCGCCGGAGGATTTCGAAGTTCTTTCCCTGAGGAGCCTCGGAGCTACCCTCCTTGGAACCGTTGGCCTCAGCCGCTGCTTTCTCCGCCTTGGCCTGTTCCCTCGCAAGCCGTTGCTTCTCAAGCCTCTCGGCCTTCTCTGCCTTTGCCCGTTCTTCGGCTTCTCTCCGTTGGCGTTCGCGCTTCTCCTCAACTTCTCTCTCCCTTGCAGCAGTGTCAATCGGTCGTGCGCCACCGAATGGGTTGGACTTTGCATCCCCTGTGCGCGGGGCCGGGGCGGCCGGTTCAGTATCAGTTACGGTTCTCTTCTGCAGGTTCAACTTTGGTCGCTGAGCCGGAGCAGGCGATGGAGGGTTGCTAGGCTCCTTAGGGGGATCCGGGCGCATTCTCGCTCTCCACGAGTTATCAAGTTCTGCCGCAGTCGGGGTCCGGTCATGGAAGTCGCGTCGCGGGGGCCGTGAGCCGTCCTGAGATCGTCCTTCACCCCATGCAGGTGAGCTTCGTCGGAATCCCGAACCTTCATTGCTACGGGGGCGACCGCCTTCCCTACCACTTGGAGGAATTGGTGACAAGGGACCCTTTCGTTCCCAGTTGTTGAGGTCTCGCACTTTCTGTCCGCGATCGCTACCTGCTTCTGACACATTGTCGAAATTTCGGCCAAAGCCAGGGCGATCGGAGACACGGCGTGGGGGTGGGGGCAGATCTGGAAGAGGGCCTTTGCGCGTCCAGTCGCTCAAGTCCCGGGTCGGTTGCTGAGGTTCCTTGGCTATGTTGATGGTCAGCATATAAACACTGCGCTTGTACCTCGTCATTAGAAAACGTACGTGGCTCTGCGACGCTGACTCGAATGGCCCGTCCCTGAAGTGTGGCACCCGAATACGTAAGAGCCTTCTTCAAGCCGTCGACGGTAGCAAACTCGACGTAACCAAAGCCTTTTGGAGTCCTGTTCAGTTTGTCTTCGACTATGCGAACGTTTGTTACCTGGCAGTCGGCAAACAACTGCGCGATATCGCTGGTGGTGGCGTCGAATGACAGATTGCCAATGTGAGCGGTATATGGGGGTTGGGTAGGAAGGGGGAGCTCCGGTCGAGGCGTATATCCGGCACGGTCACGCTCTCCAGCACAGTCAGTATACACTATCATGGAAGGATCGGAACCGTACCCAAACCGTTTCCATAGCTAGTAGCAGTGGAGCTCACAGTCCGCCGCTCGCCTCCATAAGTCGATCGGGGCTCAGGAGGGGCTGAATTGATTCTCCTCGTTAGTGAAAGGATGCATGGACGAACATTACAGATAGTCTTGGATGGAGGATCATTGGATGAGTAGGCATACCGGCTAAATGGTAGATCTCGTTAGCATTGTCCGGACGGGGAACCACAAGGCAGAAAAGACCGATGCAACTCACCAGGCAAAGGCATATCTTCCATTTCATCGGCCCATGAGCCAAAATCTGCACCCTGTCAGCGACCAGCTGTTCTCTCCGATAGCCAACGGTGCCACCCACTCTCATCGGCCAAGAATGTCCCTATGGACATCTTCTGGGGTTTCTGTTTCGGCGCTGCACACAGGAGCAGTCAGCGTGATGCCACCTCAAAATACCCTGTCTCATCCCCCAAGGGCGGCGATCGGATTGGCAGTGTTCTGGGGACGAACCCATGATTGTGGTTGATGCAACAGGAAACGCGCCAGCGACTTGTGCGCGTCTCTTTTTTTTCGCCTTTTTTTTTTTCGCGGGGAGGAAAGCGCTGAAAGATGGACGGATCCTTCAGCGACGACAGTCACGAGAGCTCGAGCAGCAGCGGTCCGAGAAAGTCTCAGGCCGCAGAAATCAGACGGGTGGTGGGTGTGCAGCGATACTCCGCAAAGGGCGAGCAGAGGGGAAAGTAGACGATGCTCCGTGAGGATAATTTTTAGTGATGACGCTAGAAAAGTCAGCCTGAGGCGTGGTGCGGGTGCGTGCCGACGGAAGCCACCGTGTGGCCTTGCCTCGCCCCCAGCCGTCTTGCGTGCCTTACGCTCGAGGGCAACACGACGATCAACCGCCCGTCAAAAATAGCTCTAGATTTCCTCTAGCAGCTGCCGGAGACTGCTGCTCCTCTTGACGTCTCTTGTTTCTCCCTTATTCGCAGAGCCTCCGCGAGCCTCGTTCCCGTGGTGGGACGGAGACGTCGCTCCCGTCGCCTCAGCCTGCTGCTGCTTTCCAACCCGAGGGCACGCTGCAGGCGCTAGCATTGACCTTGCAGCGATTTGAGCGATCGAATGCAGCCGCTCGTCCTTGTCCGAGTCTATTCGTATTGGCTGGGTGAACGGATGTCCTCTGTCGGGCGATGGCTGATTGTCTACTGCATCTTGGTGTCCGGTTGAGATCGCTACGGAGGGGCATATAGCAGGGATTAGCGGAGTAGCTGGATCAGAATCGAATAGTTATCTCTCTCTATTCCCCGTCTTTCCAACAGCATCATCGCTATTTCATCTCAATCTTGATGGATGACAGCCTGTTGGAAAGATATGAGTAGGCAACTACTGCAACTTCAGTCAAAGTAACTACCAGTAGTCGAGTTTGGTATATGCCATGCGATTCAGCCACTACTGTACACGTTCATACAGCATGCATGTGCAGATACTGCGTATCTCCATGATCCAAATCCTCCGAGTGCTGTCCTGTGCCTGCCGATCGAGCATCACGTGCACCGATGCAAATGCTACAAACTGGCTTGCTCCCCTCCCGCGGCAGTGAAGCTTTCCAACTCGTCTCACGCTGCAGAAGACTGCCAACGAGATGAAGCATGAAAAACGTCCGGGATGGAGTCCCTGACAAGATGGGTCGAAATCAGGAGCAGAATCCTCTGACGGACCCCGAAGTGCTGTCATCGGCCTTGAAGGTCGGTGCATTGAGCGGTTCGTTCCCTTTCCCTTTAATCGTCCCACTTGTGGTGCATTGCAGCTGTCATTACACTACTGGCAGATTTTTTTTTCCTGTGACATTGACTGATTGTGTTTCTAGCATTCGGTGGTTTTACCTATGGAGGAGTGTCTGGCGTTCTTCGCTCGTCGCCACACCCGGTGATCCGTTCGATCTCCTATGGCATTCACTGGTTTGCTTGCGGGAGCTCCTTTTGGTGTCAGTATGAACGAGGCGGATCTTACTGGATTGTGCTGATATTCGTGCAACAGGGTTAAGGAGTAATATCCTCAAGCTTCATTACGAAGACAATGCCACCCCCAAAGAGCGCGCTTACACCAGCGCATTGTCTGGTGGCATTGCCGGCGGAGGGGTTACGCGGCTCATGGGTACAATCTCCAGTCTATCCCTTTCTCCTTTTTTCGCTGGATGCTGATCTGGTCGATAGGAGGCCGACTTGTACCAGGCGTCGTGGTGTTCTCGCTTCTGGGTTATCTCGGACAGAGTTCGTGGAATATGATCGAGAGATGGCGATTGGAGAGCGCAAACTCGTCGACGAAACCGATTCTTCAGCGCATTGCCGATTTCAAGTGGGCTCCGCTGCGATCTCTTTCTGATGACGACTACAAGCATATCCTGAGCGAAAAGCTCCTGAGCATTGAAGCTGAGATTGCGATACTCGACGAGAAGATTCAACAACTCCAGCAGGAAAAGATGGCGCAAAACCGTGAGACTCGGAGCCAACAACCACCGAATCGTTCCTAAGGCCAACGATTTTTAACGTATACTATCGACTCTCCACACCCGCATGCCGAGCAGAGCCGGTCCTAACGGAACACCGGATGGGTTGGAAAACTTGGAAATCCCCTTTTGTCGGATATCCACAATCGCGTCTGCGGAGGGTTTCGGGCAGGGACAACGTGCCTGGCTTCCGGAACGGGGCTATCTCGGAGGTCGGATTCTATGATAGCGTAGGACTTGACAGCATGTATAATAGCGTCAAAAGCAGTTCTGTAGAGAAGACAGCATCACGTGCGCAGATACTCCTGCCGGATCACGCTCTCCCAGCTCGCAATCCACTTTTACTCCCTAGTATGCACAGTACATACCTGCTGAGTAGCTACGTGGCACTGTTTTCAAGACGCACATGGAGTCTGCTGTTGTTGTACTGTACACAGAGCGCTGCGTGCTGCCGTCTCCGAGTTCGCAGTCGCAGCCTCCTGAGCCCCCCTGGGGGTTCACCGTTCGGGGGATACTATTGCCAGGCTCCGCTGGACGGGGCAGAACAAGCAGCTAACGCCGGCCGGCGGTTCCGACGGCGGGATTGGCAGCTTGGAGCCGGCGCCCTAGGGATGCTCCGCTTGGCTCCCTCGATGCCAATGCAGATGCCAATGCCACCCTTGCCGCCCCGATCTGTCAGCATCCCCAAACTTTCATATCCTCGAGCTGTCCAGCTGGCCTCGTGCGGCTCTGCGCCTGCATTGGTCCCCCGCAGAGCAGGCTCGCTGCTGTTGACACGGAGAATGAGACTGCCACAGCTCGTTCGCACCCCTCTGCAGTCCGGCACCCTGCCTCCCTCCTGCTGACATTGCTCGCGTTGTGCCCGTCGCACCACTCGTCGTGGTGAATCTGCGGCGGAGATCCAGATGCATTGCAGGCAGAGACACGGTGCGAATCCATATGCTCGATCGAATCGCCGTCTATGACACTGTCGATGCTCGATCCCTCCGCATTCTCTAGGCTGAGCAAGGCTGGCGTGTGTTTCTCCCAGCTGAGCGAGTGCCACTATGTCCTTTTACAGCCCAACCACCGTCCTGGTGGGAATCCTCCTCCTCTACCTCTCCTCCTTCATTCTTTTCGCCATCGTTCGCATCGGCACCGGCGTCTCCATTCAACGAATCGGTTACTTCTCCCTCCGACGCATCGCATATGCACCCCGGGAAGGCGTCCAGATTGATCTCCGCGGGCTAGGCTTGTCCTTCCATCGACCGTCTTTCTCCCAGCCGACATGGATTAGTCTCCGCTTGACAGAGCTCAAGGTGACCGTGGACCTCAGAGCCTTGAGAGACAGTGAGGAGAGAGCGCATCGAAATGATGCTTCGCCGTCGCAAACCCCGCCGCCCAATGGATCTCCACGCATCCCGCATCCCGATGCCAACTCCGGCTCGACTCGAGGCTCCTCGTCCAGATCGCGGAGCGAGACCTGGAAGAAATTGACCCGGTTGAAAGAGCGAATCAAGCGACTGCATCGCCAGATCCACTGGCTGGCCATGATCGATCTGGTCGCGGTCAACACCACCGTCCACCTGGTCGATGTGGGCCAGATCCAGGTTGGGTCATTGAGCATGGCAGTGGATACAAGGCGCAAGATGGTTGAAAGGGGCCGACTCTTTCGCCACAAGAAGGATCAATCTCGGGAATTACGGCCCGCAGAATGGATGATGACCGTCCGGAATATTCTGCTGGCTGTGGATGGCCGTGAACCGATGGAGCTGCTGGATAATTTGCAACTCAATATTCATGGCCACATGTATCGAGACTTGGAAGGCTTGAGGGACACCTCGGTCGCGATCAGAGTCGGGAGACTCCACATCCCCTATGATGATCTAATGATCCTGTCGCAGAGAATCAGAGAGTTTAAAAAGGCACAGCCCAAAGCGGAGCCGAGCAGTGAGACCGACGACGAGATATCGTTTGCGGACTTCGTAGAAGAGCTCGATCGGCCTGGATCGCGGGAGGAGGCCATCGTTCAGACGGTTGCCGATTCTAAGGAATTCGTCAGCTCCATCCTACGCGGCATAGAGGACATTCAGGTTGCCCTGAGCTTCTTCAGAGTATCCCGTTCACTCTCTTCTCTTTCTGCTGCCCCGAAGGAAACGCAACTCAATCTCGTCACGCATGAAATCGGCATTGACCTGCACCGCATGAACCCTAATACACCGGCTCACCGGATGTATTTCCAGCGTAATGACGTTGCTCACCAGGCGTTGTTGGCCGCCATTTCGCTCTCTGTTAGTCTGGACGACAGTTCCGGAGAGACGAATAGGCTTCTGTATGTCCCCATGGCCACGACAACCATCAAGACGACATTGCCTTCCAAGACCGTCAACTTCTCCGATCAGCACGCCCCGGCCGAGAGGAACACCAACGTCTTGTTTGCCAATCTGGTGATTACTTCCCCTTCTCTCGACCTGGAGCCGCGCCATGTCTCCCAAGTCCTGCGTTTGGCTGAGGCAAGAGCGTCCTCAGAGCGTGGTGGCAAGAAACGAGACAACCATCAGATCATCTCTCGCCTACTGCCTAAAGCGAGCATCAAGCTCTCGGTGCATGAGCCCGTGGTGCGATTTGTTCTTCCAATCCCCAATGACGCCGCTGTTGATCCTGGCGACTACAACCTGTTAATCTCTTCGATCTCCTCCATATCACTAGATATTGAATCCTCTCATTCCGCAGAAGCTGGTATCCAGTACTCTTTATCGTCCACCTACCGAGTCTCTTCACACCAGTTGTATTATCAGACCCCGGCTGGTGTCAAGTATAACCTTATCAACACGCAGAACTTGGAAGTCAGGGTCCATCTGATCGCCACTCCCGAGTTGTGTGTGTTCGTGTCGGGGAACCTGAACTCATTCTCTGTCCACATGGTCAATGGAGACGTGAATCGGGGGATCCGACAGGTCATCGAGCAGGTCCGAACACACATGAAGCCGAAAAGGCTCGCCAGGCCGACTGTGGAACAGAAGCCCAGTCTACTAAGACGTCTTCCGCCCTGGCTTTCCCGAGTCCAGTTCGAAGCCACAGAGCTCAATTTTGAGGTTGCCGGTGCCGCTCCTGGCGAGTCCACGACTACACGCGGAATCGCGCTGCAGCTGGAATCGTGGACTGCCGACTATCGAGCCCAGAAGACGGAGCCAATTAAGCACCCAGCAAGACGACGCACGCCAAGTCATTCTACGGTTGGGGATGACCATACCTTTCGGTTTCCCCCGACATCGCCTCCCAAGAGAGCCCCAAATGGTCGTGCGGATGGCCGAAGGTTGGCTATACACCTGCGTGGGCTCGAAGGCTTCGCTATCGAATCAGAGGATTATATGGAACCAGAGTCTTTTCTCTCTCTTCCCCGGTGCGAAGTGGCGCTGAGCACACAGAGTGACCTCCAGGGACCAATCTTTCACGTCAACTCGGTTCTCAGAGCACTTTACCTTGAATTCTCCCTGTACAGATACTATTCTCTTGGGACAGCTGTGTCTGTCCTTCGGGAGACCTTTATGCCTACACCTGCGGAAAAGAAAGAGCCGAGTACGAGCGACTATCAATTCAAGAATTTCGCAGGCACTTCACTCCAGGCCCCGCCCCCACCACCGCATCGCGCTGAGCTTACCACCGTCGATGTCCGAGCCAGTCTCGTACAGATCAAGGGTATTATGCCTTCTGATCCCCGTATGATGCTACAAATCTATGGTTTGGCAGCCGGCTGCCACCGTTGGTCTGCTCCCTTCATGAGATGTCACCTGGCGCGTCTGCATGTTGAAGCGCCAAGGCTCAAAGGAATCTGGGCGCGGGTGGTGAGCATGAATAGTGTTAGGCTCGACCTGCGAGAGGGTAAGAGGACGCCAGGTCGCGATTCCAAAGAAGAGAAATCACTGGACGTATCAGCGGATTTCATTCGGCTGGGCGTTCCTCATCACATGGTCATGCACCATGTCTTCGACAACATCACCAACACTTTCAAAGCTCTGCAGCAGCTCCATCACCGGTTCAAGACGAATTCGGGTGAGGACATACTGGAAAAAGAGCCGGAAGGCCCCAAGAAAGTACCTCGTATATCGTTACGTAGCAGAGCTTTACTGTTCCAGCTCGAAGACGATGCTTTCGAATGGAAGCTCGGCTGCATCTATCGTGCGGGCCTAATCGAGCAGAGGCACCGCCTAGCGCGGGAGGAAGCTTTCCGTCTGAAATCTCAGAAGCTTAAGGACGCGGATCAACGGCGGGCGTCTTCGCGATTCCGAGCGCAGTCAAGCCACCCCGATTCTTACTTTGACCGTAAGAGTGATGACAGGAGAAGAAGCACAAGCGCCGATGGCAGACTGCCCAGAGGATCGTTCGAATCTCGCGGCCGACAGGGGCGATGCCGGTATGATGCGGAAGGGTATGCTAATATTTCTTCGTCTGCGAAAGTGTCGACAACGGAGGCATGGCAGCGATTACAGGAGTACAACGCTCGAAGCTGGAAGAGGAAAATCGATGCGGCAATGCAGTTCCAGAACAAATCGATTCAAGAGATCAGGAATCTCTTCGCCGGCGCGGACGAACCGCCGGAAGATGTTGAGGATGACGAAACCATCTTGGCCATTCCGGATAGGCCTGGTCTGATGTCGACACTCATCAGCGACGTGCACCTCGTGATTGACAAGCCCACATTCCCATTGAACGAATATCCTAAATTCCTCCATGAGATCGGAAAGGGGATGCCATTGGATATGCAATACTCTTTGCTCGTCCCCATGAGCATCCAACTGGATATGGGAGAAGCTCGGGTGACGTTGAGAGATTATCCGTTAG